CTTTGTTTATGCCTCTTGTGGAATGTAGGCTTTATATATTGATCAGATACTTAATAATACTGTATTATTTATACCTAGTTGTCTAGTATATTAAAACTACAAGCACATGACAATGTGGCATGGCTTTGTGTAATACGATCTCTACAACATGTATACAATAAAAGTAAAATGCATCATGTTGCCATTGTGAATACTTATTCATGGCATACGTTTCTGCTACGAATAAAACTCGAGAAGCAGTGAATTAAACGTGGAAATTCTCTTCCTGCGAATTAACAATCAATCAAATGTTTTATAAAACTACATCGCTATATTTGAAAATCGTTTGACCATTCATGTAAATTAAGGACACAATATGGAGTTATGTGTTTCCCAGGCATGCTGACGAGCCCTGAATTGGGCGAAACAGTAATTTTTCATCTAACATTTTTTCGTAAAACTGGATATAAATTAATTCGCTTTGCAACCCCCCCCCCCCTTGATGCTCAGCAACGAAATTTTTGACTAACGTACGAAAAATTCTAGATCCGCCCCTGAATTTAGCGCAATCATGGCTATTACACATTCGCTTTAGTTTATATCCTGCGTGAACTGTTTACATTAAATGCCCGTTTAAAAGTATTAAACTGGTTTTTTTCACGACTTCGTGTCCTGCAATTTTGGTGTGACGTCAAACTTTCGATTAAGCTTCATTTTCTTTTATTGCATAAATTGTAAATTGAATAAAATTTTTATTTAAATTTTTATAAAATTGTTATCGGATTCCCCGATTCCCCGATTCCCGGATTCCCCGATTCCCGGATTCCCCGATTCCCGGATTCCCCGATTCCCGGATTCCCGGATTCCCCGATTCCCGGATTCCCCGATTCCCGGATTCCCCGTTCCCTGTTTTAAAGATAGCCTTCACGGCTGTGACGGTGGTAGGTCATTATCATATTACTATTCATATCATATTCGATAATGCTTGTGTGATTTGTATAAAATGGCTTCAACGAGCGTGACGAACCTTATGGAAAGTCATAGCGGAATTTCATTTCATTCGGTGCTTTTAGCATAATATACTGTATGTGGTGCTTTTATCGTTATACGAGGTGCTCCCAACATTATACGCGGTGCTTCGAGTTCGAGCATTATACGCGATGATTTTGACATTATACATGGGCTACACGCAACATTATACGAGGTGCTTTTAACATTATACGCGGTGCTTGAGACATTTAATAATATACGCGGTGCTTGAGACATACGAGGTGCTTTTAGCATTATACGCGGTGCTTGAGACATTATACGCGGTCGGTATAACGTTATACACGGTACCTTCAGCATTGTACGCAGTGGTTTTATCATTATACGCAGTGCTGTAACTACTTGCTGTGGTTTCAACATCATACGCGCATTACGCGGTGTTTAAGACATTATACGAGGTGCAGTGATTTATAATTATTCGTTGTGCTGCAGACTCAGTGCAGAGGGCAATATTTTTGCCTAACACAGCACTTCTCTGAGCTCCCACAGATGCCCCCGAACCCCTCTAGAAGGTCGCACCCTTCGACGCCTTTTTTTAGCCAGCTACGCCACTGTTCGCTCATAGACAACTCGGTTTCGTTGTCTAATTGTTAACTATCCAGTCGCACAATGACATTCAATATTCAATAAAAACTAAATTCATACTCACATAATCTTCGAATATTTCAAAGTCTTCGGATGAATCTGTTGTGTAACCTTCTTGAAGAGTGTGATGAAGCAAACAGCCGTCTGCCTCATTTATACACTTCAAAGTGGGAGGAGCTAGTTGCCAAGAGGTAAATCTGGCGACCTCCTAGTGCCCTGTTTTCGTCAAATTCCTAATGTTGACAGATATGTTCATCCTTTACAGTTCTGTTCTAGGTATTATATACTATTGACCCATTGCACATGACGTCACAGCGCCGGTGATGATGCATCTGGAGGACAAATTAGCAATCTATGCATAATATAACTTTTGTAAACAAAGCAAATTTTGTAAAACTTCATAATAATTTTGTATTAAAATGGTTAATTTTTGCACTGTATGTATTTGTTGTACCCGAACAGATATTGTTGGGGAGCATCTGGAGGACACTGACCAGTGGCGAAGCTAGAGGTCGTGCTAGTCGTGCTGAGCACGAGTAAAATTTTTTCAAAGAAAAGAATTTTTTAGTCTTAAAAAAAAATTCCTCCAAAATTTTAAAAATGATTCGTCGTACACTTGCGTCATCTATTAAGTGCGAAATCCCTTCAAATCCGGTGATTTTGCCATGATTTTAAACCAATTCAAGGTATGATTGCGTAGTTTCACCCGACCGCAGGTTAATAGCACGACTAATGGGTAATCCGCCCGTTAGTCGTGCTCTCGTCAGGCCAGCACGACTAAATTATCAATTCCAACGCATTCTATTGGCTAAATTGCTCCTCGCGCATGCGTATCTCGCCGAATTTTATCTTCTGGTCGTGCTCATCTTCGAAAGCACGACCAAGTTAAATGCCGTAAATTATTCAGCAATTCTATCGAGATTTATTCAAGTGATCTTGGTTATGTATCTATGGAAATTGACCAACGTCAATCGAGTGATTAGTAGGAAGGCCTTCTGGCTTCTAACAAGATATTTTAGCTCACGAAATGCATGTGAACAGACTCGATTGTGTATTCTACTGTATTATAATGGCGAATATAAACAAGATTTGTGAAGGCCTTTCCTATTGATATAAATATATTTACTACCAGTTCATTTGCTTTATTCACGAGTGCTTATATATTTTGAGGTTTACAGATATACCAAATATCTAAACAAAGTATCTTTCAACATTAGGGTTCTGCTTCAAATTTACAAGGTCCTTGTAGACACTGTACATTACAGTTGACCTTTACGCAATTCCAAATGAAAGATCATATTACAGCACTCAGCAGGGTATTAAAATGTACACATACAATATTCTCCTCTTTCTTCTGCCAATATTGGCTATATTGAGCGTCATTTGCAGATAAGTTTAAATATATAGTGAAATAAAATTAAATTTTGTGGAAATACAAATTTCAAAAACAAAAAGTATTAAGAATTTTCCTCTTTATATCACACTTTTTTGTAGCTTTCTTTGCATGAATTTCACCCTGAAATCGCAGGAAATGGCCATTCCAGACTTCGAAAATCAAAATTTTCCCGGGGGTGCATGCCCCCGGACCCCCCTAGCATGTGCGGGTCTTAGAGCATGACTAGTCGAATTCCCTCAGCTTCGCCACTGGCCGACACTCTAACCGTGAAAGATGGAAAATGATTTAGCACGAGCAAGCACGATTCAAGCGCCAGTGTGACCGCGACCTTCCTGTTTGCGTCAATTTACTCATGTTGACAGAATATGGCGCCAGATGAGCAATTTTGTTGAAATTTGACTTTACTTGAACGTAATCTACTTGAATCTGTCAACAGGTCAGCCTCCAAGCACGTTTGATAGTGTGACCGCGTAAAACGCATAATCCGAGCTTGCTTGAAACTTGATACATTTTGCTTGAAACTACAAAAGTACCGCAGCAAGATTCAAGCACGGTAGGGACGGTGACTGAACGGCTATCTTTAAAAGAGGGAACGGGGAATCGGGGAATGGGGGAACGGGGAATCGGGGAACGGGGAAATATTCCCCCTTTTAAAGATCTTTAAAAGGGGGAATATGGAATATTCCCCCTTTTAAAGATCTTTAAAAGAGGGAATATTCCATATTCCCCCTTTTAAAGATCTTTAAAAGAGGGAATATGGAATATTCTTTAAAAGGGGTTAATATTACCCCTTTTAAAGATCTTTAAAAGGGGGAATATAATATTGGAATATTCCCCCTTTTAAAGATCTTTAAAAGGGGGAATATCGCCACTCTGAGACTGATTTAAGCCTCTTGACTTGTAAAGAGTAGCACGGAATCTTTAAGCAGTCTACGATTTTTTTAAATCACGCGCGTAAATTCTTTCAGACTGCAGACTATATACAGTACACAGACAAATTACACTGCGCGCATTGCAATTGATGTTTTGCTGATTCTCCGTACGGAAACTGCTATATTTTCGGCAGGGGCGTAGCATGACCTTTTTAACTGGGGGGGGGCGTAACATCTAAGTTTTACCGACCCACGCGCCACGAGGCGCCACCATGGTTGGCGCTGAGCGGAAAATTTTTGAAAATATGGAGTCTCTAGATCGTTGGAAATGGCATTTTCAGAGCCTTCTGTACCTTATACACACAAGGTTTGGTAGCTTTTATTTATATCAAACAAAACCATATTGTTGAAGTTGTGTTATTTTCGAAATCCGTGAGAATCCGTCAGATATTAACAAGCTGTGAGACTGTGAGCTCACCGTGAGGTTTTATTAGAATCCGTGACCGCCCCTTATACATTACATATAACATATACTATAACAGCTATACAGCAATTGACAAATAAATATTTCGACGCGCGTTTAATTAATTTAATGACACTTACCGTGACTTTAGTCTGCCGTCTGGAAATAACGTAGAACCAGAAACGTAGCAAACGCTTTATTAATGGTCATTAATTGGAATAATTGTTGTCTTTGTTACTTCGCGATAAGTCATTTTACTCAATGGCATTTATCTTGTTGTTTATTGTAATGAACAGACTTGAAAAATTGGCGAAACATTTTATGAGCACCGCGTGTCAATAACAAATATGTAAATATAATCTTTAATTCTTTTGTGTATCATTTTATCAAGGTCAAAAGTTCGCGCACAGTTGAACATGTCCAATCAGAACCGACTGTTTTCGCAGCTCTTGCAAGTATAATACGATAGGAAATTAGGGGCTCCAATGCTTATGCGTAGATATTTAATATAAGTGTTTTAACACTGAAGAATTACGTACATTTTGCATAACTTTATTGGAGAACAAGGCACAACATTAATTTTTTTTTTATTATTAAAAGCCATTTACCGAGGAGCAAAATTCCACTTTAACCGATTTGTTTTACCGACCGCTGTCATGGCTCTTGCCATTACCGAATAACTTCGCGTTTTACCGACTACCTCACTAAAACTGGGGGGTGTCACACCCCCCCACACCCCCCCCCCGCACGCTACGCCCCTGACTGTCAGTGCCAGTGTAGATAGTGCCGATACTGTAATAACAAGCTTTCTTTGGCAGGGATGCAACTGCCTGAAGATATAAGGAGAATTTCGACGTTCCGAGCGAAGGGCCTTCGTCTGAAGTAAGTTTGAAGAGCCTCTAGTTCTATCCAATAAGTTACTCCAGATCACCTTATATTTTTCAGGTATAGTTGCATCCTACCAACGAAAGCTTATATTTATCGATACCTCGAAGTGGTACCATGTTCTTTTCAGCTTTGTATTACCCTGCACAATACGTTTCCAATTCCTAACTTCCATTTTGTACATGCATTAATAGACAAAGCTTATTGCAAATCCTGCCACGGTAAGAACTTTGGGCTACATGGTTACGGATATGGTCAAGGTGCTGGTGTGCTTTCTATGGATTTTGGAAAAAGTTCTCCTAGTTCTACGGCACCCAGTGCGTCAAAGCCAGGAGGTGCCGATACATTTGATGGCAAACCCATCCCTGGTGGTCAAGATGACTGTCCCAGATGTGGAAAAAGAGTTTACGCGGCTGAAAAGAAACTGGCTGCTGGAAGGGTATGTTTTGACGTACATTTGTATATAATTTATGAATAACTGATACGAAAGAAAACATGACGCGAAGGAGCTTGTACATCTGGTACAAAATCCTGCCGATTTGCGTAAATTTAAAGTGCCACTAATCACTGACTAAGGGCCTGTTCATATGGGCAAAAGTTATCCCGGTTAACGAGAAAACTTTTCGACTAGCCAAATACTTTTGTTCTGTTCATATGGAGAAAAGTTATCCCGCTGACCGGGTAAAGATTCCGGCTGTGACGTAGCACTGAACATCAATTGAATTGAAAAGTTGCTGACACGACAGAAAGTTATCCCGCTAAGCGGAAAGTTGTGTTCATATGGGGAAAACATTATCCCGGTCACCGAGATCTCGCCTGTCAACAAGCGAGATCTCGGTACACGGGAAAACTTTTCGTCTCATATGAACGCAATGTAACTTTTCATATTATTTTCGTAACAAGGCGAGATCTCGCTCGTAAACTTGTCGAAAAGTTTTCTCGCTAACCGGGATAACTTCTGCCCATATGAACAGGCCCTAATATGATTTTTGGTATGTGTAATTTTCGGGCCATTCGAAGAAGAAATGTAATATGTCTTTATAATAAAAATCCCATCTTGATCACTTTTTCACTGTCAAAGTTTCCGAATATAATGTCATTAGGTGAATTGTAAATTAGTTTCCCTTTGTTTATTGTACCAAAAATTCACCTAATGACATCATATCTGGAACTTTGACAGTGAAAAATTTGATCAAGATGAGGTTTTTTACTATAAAGATACATTACATTTCTTCTTCGAATGGCCCGAAAATTACACATACCAAAAATCATATCAGTTAGGGCCTGTTCATATGGGCAGAAGTTATCCCGGTTAGCGAGAAAACTTTTCGACAAGTTTACGAGCGAGATCTCGCCTTATGAACCAAATATTACACATACCAAAATTATATTTGGGGTTAATCGCACTTTAAGTGTATTTTGCTCACAAAAAACATTCATGTCCTATAACATTATTCAAGAATACGAACGTTTTCAAAGCTCACTCACAGTCACACTCAGAGAGTGGACGCTCATCCTATATAAGTGCAACTCACCATTTATCTAGTCTCCACTCACATTCACATAGTATGGTACTGCACTCAGTGGCGTAGCTAGCGAAATTTGACTAGTCCTGCTCTAAGACCCACCCATTCTAGGGGGGTCCTGGGGTATGCTCCCCCGGGAAATTTTGAATTTTAGAAGTTTGGAATGGCCATTTCCTGCGATTTCACGGCGAAATACTCCAAAGGGAACATCAAAAAATTGCGTGATTAGCGGAAAATTTTTGATATTTTTTTTAGAAAAAATTTTTTTTGAAATCCATGCATTTTTTTATCATATTTCACTATATATTTTCAACTTAACTGAAAATATAATGTAGCTAAATATAGTCAATTCACGAAAGAGGAAAATATCATGTATACCATACGCGTCTGTAATATGATCTTTCACTTGATCAACACATAATCCAACCTCACATAATCAACAATTGCGCCACTATTATACTGTTGAACACGGCGTTTTATACACTTAATTATATTAAAAACGCTACGGCCAGCATTCGTTAAAAATTCACTACTAGTAATGTGTTAAACTTTATATAATGTAGTGGTATCAACTACAGATCACTACGCCTGGCACTCTGAATGTAATTCAGTACGCTATGCATATCGTCTATGCGGCCAAATATCTACATATAAAACAGTGTGAATTGGTACAATATATCATTTTTAAAATTAAACTCCATATAAGTGCTCGTTTCAAATGCACAAAGCAGATGAACTGGCAGTAAATATTACGTTCTTACTTTATATCAACACGACATTACGACGTAAAGGCTTCACAAATGAAGTTTGTATTCCCCATTATATTGTATTACTAGAAAATACATGCATGCAGAAACCCTCGCCTTGCTGACAAAACCGTTGTATTTTCCGAACATGAAGTATCTAAAGTAGTTGTCATGGTAACACGATAATTTTTTAAGAATATTCTTACAAATGAAAATCGCCTAAAAATATCACTTTTAATTACAAAACTATCAATTTCCCAACATATTTATGTTAGGTATGTAATTATACGTAATACAAGCTTCAATTTAAAGTAAAATTCAACCACAAACAATTCACAAAACGTTTTAAAGTGTTCTTTATAAAACTAAACTGCTTTTAACTATTAAATGGCTTTATCGATAAACTTTGAGTTTGCAATAAAATGATTTCAAATTCTCGCTTGCAAATAACTTTGCTTTATTTTTTATTTAAAAATTCAATATAATAAAAAAGGGAATCAATATTAAAGATACACTGAAATTATATGCTGTCTTGTTTAGTTGTTTCATATACGCAAAGACCGTCGGGTTTTAAAGCAATTATAAAATCAATATTTAAAACAAACTTACCTTCGTTAACGTCGGCTCCCTTCTTTTAGCTGATTCTTTCGCCCTTTCTTTCTTGAAATTTTCAAAATCTTGCAGAAATACGAGCAAAATGAAGAATATTTGCAAGAAATTAGTCAATCATCAACTCATCAAATCAAGATATGTTTGTTGTTTGCTATTTCGCTGTCGTCATGCAGCCGTTATAATGCAAACTTTAAATTGGACCAATCAGTGTCTGTTATTCATAACAGTCCGCCATATTTTTGAGATCAGTGAGGATGACCACCCATCGTTGGTGACCGACGCCCGCGCTCATTGATGAACTTTAGACTTCCCTAATGCTTTCGTTTCCCCGGGTGTAAATAGCCGGGGGGAATTAGTACCCTCGCACGGCGCTTCGCGCCGCCGGCTCGTGGATAAAAATACACAATCATCAGTCGAGTCTGTTCACATGCATTTCGTGAGCTAAAATATCATAGCAGAAGCCATGCAGAAATTATATCAAAATCACACTGGGCTTCCACACTCGTTGATTTCCATACCGTATTTACTCGTTTGAGCGCCGCCCCCGATTGAGCGCCGCCCCCGAATGAGCGCCGCATTTGAGATCAAATTTTTTTAAAGAGCGCCGCCCCCGAATGAGCGCCGCACTAAACAGTGTAGAAACTTTCCACCGTCAAAATGGGAACATTTAGTGACAAAAACCTTTTAAAACTTGTTTATTTTATTGTTAAAAGTTCTTGTTATAATTCACAAATAAAAGATTTTTTAAAGTGCGCCGCCCCCGATTGAGCGCCGCCCTCGAATAAGCGCCGCATCTGAAGCTCTGAAAATTTAAAGAGCGCCGCGGCGCTCAAACGAGTAAATACGGTATTCATAACTTGAGTAATCTCGACAGAATTAGTAAAAATAGGTACGCGCTGCGTACACGTGGGTAGCCTGCATTAATTGTTGTTAAAGCTGGAGTAATACCGAGATTGGAGTAATACGCGCAATTAACAAAATTGCTGCAGCCAAAATTTCTGCAACAAAATCTGATTTCAACGCATTTTAAGTAGAAATGTTGACCAAACATTTCAATTAACATGCGCAGAAATCAGATTTTGTTGCAAGTTGCAGCAATTTTGTTGCCCATATTAGTATATTACTCCACCTTAATTGCTATTGTCAAATTCCGAATTTACCGAAAGAAAGTATTAAGTAAATTGAACACAATTCAAATATTATACACACATTTAATCACATACTGAACATCAGATATGTCAAAAATACGTAAACGACTGTTACGTGCATTTTTCAATAAGCATAAACAGATTTAAGAAGTTACAAAGTATTTTAATGTGTCAAAAATAATTTGCACACTGAACAGACAGAACAGCACAAGGTCTTTAAGACTTTAATATGTATACGAAACAAAATACATCACACGCCGAAATACAGACAGTACGAAAAACACTAAAGACAAGAACAGTTCTTGTTCAAGGACAGCATACATCAAAGACAAAGCATCAGGTTTACAGGCTGCGTATATACAATTTTCGTGAAATTTGAGTTTCAAGGATAGTCCATGCAAAGATCTAAGGACGATGTTTTCCGGCGGAGTTTGAAAAAGATCAACATATACAGATATACTTTATTTAGTGATGATTGAATTATTTAAACAACGACATAATCGATCTCATATATATGTCATATATTGGTAATGACATTCAATTTGCTTTCAATATTCGACAAATTAAATATATCCCAAAGTAAAAAAGCGCTAATATTCCACTGCCTAATTTAATCCTTGTGTAAACCGTGCTTGGCTTTCTATTTGCCTTAACTTACACATTCGACTAACCAGATTCCAATGACGTGGCCTTACAAACATTATGTAAGCAACGACATACTCGATTCTATATACCTATATGTTCGTCATTCGTCAACATTCCTTCGATATAGACTAACATAAAATGTCCAATCGTCGCGCGCTATATCATTAATTACTATATTTTTCTAATACGTATAAAATGTTTGATCAAACTGATATGTCGTATTTAAATATGACATTACACGATATAAAACAGACCCCGTGCACTAATATTAACCCCAATGACCCTTGTACAAGCAGTGATTATAAAAACAACGACATATTATTCGATTCTATATGCGTTGGAAATGACTATCGACCTGACAAAACATATTACAATAAAGACTTTACTAAGAATTTATACACATCTCTGTACAGTATGAGCGTTAGTGAACTTAGCCTGTGGTCTATAGACGGTTCGTATTTCAAGGATAAAAGGAACCGCGCAGCAGGACACCGCGGACACGAAGGCTACAGAGCCACAGAGCCACAGAGAAACGCAAGATCGCGCTTCAGTCTCTCACATAGTGGTTAGCGGCGCATGCGCGGCTACCCACAAAAAGTGGGTTTAGTCACGCGGAAAGCTCGCAAGTAAAGACAATACAAGGCCAAGTCCTGCCATTTGGAGAGAGCAAGACTTCGAATTTGTAAACAGTCGGTTTGAGCATGCGCAGACCTAATTATCCAATCAGAAACCAAGATTTCTTGTATGAATTTACTATGAAATATACTAGCAAGTCCTGCCATTTGAAAATGGCAGGACTGAAATAAGAGTCGCGTGTAAATCAATGTAGAGTTGCAGTTGCTAGGTAACAGACAGAGCAAGCTATAAAATTGCGTAAATATAACAGAATGCGAAAAACTTTTTAAAAAATAATAACGAAAAAGACGAGAAAATGAGACAAAATAACAATATGATAATGATAAATTTTTAAAGCTTCAAGATAAATAAAGCAATGTTTTAGTAAGGAAATTTTGGGAAATTTTTAGTCCTGCTGGGCAGGACAAGCAGGACCGCTAGCTACGCCACTGCAGGTGAAT